GAACGGGCGGGGCGCGGCTCTTTTGATTTCTGTGCGGACGCGGGAGAGAGTGAGCGGGCGAAGGGGTGAGTGCAATGGATTTGCTGTTCGGAGGGGAGGGCAGGGAGCAGTAGGGGTGGGTCATGAGGTGAGCGGAGGCCACAGTTTCAGAGGCAAGGGTGGGTGAATGCCCATCTTGCCCGAGGGCGGCCACCTCGAGTTGATCTTGCGCGTCTCCAGGATCCTCGTCCTCCTCCGGGCCGGGTGAGGGACTGGGCAGGAACTCCAGGAGGGGGCAGGATCCGCCATCCGTCTCGAGACGAATCTGGTTAATGGGATTTGTTGTGTTTTTATCTCTGTGTCTGTGTGCTGCTGTATGCGCGCGTGGACGTCCGTGTGGCCCTGTACATCGTGGCGCCCCATCCAGTGTCCCCGGAGCTGAGGGATCGAAAGGAGGATGCGAAAGGGATGGAGGACGAAGGCCAGACCAAGATCAAGCAGAGGCGAAGTCGGACCAATTTCACCCTGGAACAACTCAACGAGCTGGAGAGGCTTTTTGATGAGACCCACTACCCGGACGCCTTCATGCGCGAGGAGCTGAGCCAGCGGCTGGGGCTGTCGGAGGCCCGGGTGCAGGTATCTGACTGTGAGGAGGTCGAGGCAGGGTCCAGGGAGGGCGGAGGGGCGCGCCAGGGGTTGGAGAGGCGGCTTTCGGGACACACACTAAAGGTGCAGGTTCCAGGGGCTGGAGTGAGGTGAGAAAGGAAGGGATGTCCCAAATAGAGGTCTTATTTTCCAAAGTAGATCTTAGTCCTAAACCGCACCCCCGCCCCCCCTTCACCCTATTCCAACATATGTTCCCAGCAGAAGAAAGCTGTGCTGGGCTTGCTCCCAGAGTTTCTATAAACCACACCCCCCTCGCCTCATGATGCCTTTAATGTGGTTTAATCCTAATGGGTCTACTTTTATAAGCCTTAAAAAAATCCCACAGAAAACGTTTTATCTTCTGGATGTCTTAAAAGTTACAACGAATATTCTGTTCGCTGGAGTTGGGTTTCCTTGAGGGTCTGCTCTGGGGTCTAGGTTTGCCAAGCGGATATGCCAATTAGGTTTATAGATGTACAGACTATAAAGAAAATTAGCAACTGTTAAATGCAGAAATTTACAGTCTGCCGTTAGCAGTTGATCTCAAACTGTGTGCGAAACAGCAGAGAAATAAATGCATTTTGGTCACTCTTTGTTCCCTCACTTAACCAAAGCAGCGAACCTGGACCTACAGAAACTTGATTTTAAAACAACCCACAGATCTTAATGTTGGCATTTTCAAAGTCCGACCCCAGTGACTACCATATCTAATGATATTAAGATTGTTTTTTGTTTCGTTGGGTTTTGTTTGTTTGTTTTTTTTCTAGTCTGAGGGTGAAAGTAGGCTTTGGGAGCGGTTAATTTGAAAATGTATATGCATACATGCATGCATATCCTAGGTTTATGGAGAACAAATTTAAATGTTTCAGACTGTATTTCGCTCAAATAATAAAATAGGAGAAAATGATGGTCATTATTTGTTTGAACACATGGAGCAGTTTTAGGCCTGAACATCTGCAGCTGTTACAAAGTATCACTGTAACAGATACTCCCTGGGTCTCTGGGCGCAGAGACCACCATCTGCAGCGAACTATGCAATTCTTATGGGGCTTCCTCGCATCTTGTAATAGGATCAGGACAAAAACAGCAGTGGAGTTGAAGAGGAAAAGTAATAATAGGCTGCCTTGGTCATCACAGCATCAACAGCGGAGCCTTCCTTTTTAAGCCTCTCCTGCTTTGCTCTGTGTACTGAGATCTCTAGAGGCTCAGCAACCCCTTAAAGACGTGATGATAATTATTACAGTTATGAGCATTAGTATCTCAGTTCCAACTCTGCTAGGGGAAAAAAGAGGCAAGAAGCCTCAGGCCATGTGAGTTGCACAAAGGATGCCACCCTGGCATGAAATCTACCCTTCTATTACACTAAATGGCAGGGGAATTTTTGAAGATTTACATTGACTATGACATTTGCTTTTAAAAACAAGACAAAGCTCAGAAGCAATATTTTACTTTCATGTGTTTTAAACATTAATTGGTGAATCAGTCAATATGCTATATTATTGGAACATAATGCTGTATTATCAGAGTAAAAAAGCAAGCTTTCTTTGAATTTTAAAAAGTCTGTCAGATTGCCTCTAAAAGTTGGCAAGGTTATTTAAGAAGGTAATATCTGGGAGAAGATAGTATCCAGGAGTTACTTGATTCATATTCCAACCCCTTTCACACAATATTCTCTTTTTTATTTTTCTTGTAAGAAGTGATTTTATTGCCGATCTTTATTTTTTCATACTTAAAAAAATTTTTGAGCTATTTTCTGGATGCTTCTCTACTACCCTAACTGTGAGCATGGGCTATTTCTATAGAAGCAAATTAGATTATCATGATAATAGTACAATTATTCTGCTACTGTGTTACACTCTGTTGCACAGAGGAACAGAGAAATTCTAAACTTCTTTGTAGTGAGGCTTTTATGACACTAATTACCTCTTCCCCCACTCTTATCCCCCTCCCTCAGCCCCGAGGAAAAAAAGAGTCACTATTTGCTTTGGTGTTTGGTTTTTCTTGAAGATGAAGCTAATTAATATTACAGACTATTAATGAGCACATTCGTCTCAGGTCTTACTGAGCAAACATCTAAACCCATTATCACTTTGGTATCAGGTATCAGCAAGAGTTTTAGGCCTTGGGAACTCTGTAATGTAAGAAGATGAAACCAGGACTAATAGCAATTTATCAATAAACTATCTTGCAAAAGTATATGAAATCTATATATTTTTGTCATTACTTTACACTTTTAACTTTGGAAATTGAGATTGTTCTTTAATTCAAAGGTTGCTTGCTACATCTCCTAGTTTGTGCCTAAAGCACTACTCTTTTTTTTCATCTCCTTTTGTAATTTAAAAAATGTTTGAGTCATAACATCTAGGTTATATATTTTCTCTCCAATTTGTAGGTTTGGTTCCAAAATCGAAGAGCTAAATGTAGAAAACAAGAAAATCAACTCCATAAAGGTATGGTTCTCAGACAAAGAACATTTGGTATTCTAAGTAAAAAGAGAGTGGGGAATAGTGCTATTACAAATACAGAAAAATCTTCTCAAAGATAATCATGGTCCTTGCTTAAAAAGCTGCTCTGAAGGCAGTTAATGAGAGTCCTAAAGTTTGGGAGTAAGTTTGATTTATTTTAATTATGGCAGTAGTTTAGGAAGATAAGAGATTATTTCCAAAGGAATTAGTTCTATCTTGGTACCATTTGGAACCCTGGAAAACAATGTTGGAAATATTCATCTCATATGATTGTGTTTTGTTTCCCCCATTCTTTGCAGGCGTCCTCATAGGGGCTGCCAGCCAGTTTGAAGCTTGTAGAGTTGCACCCTATGTCAATGTAGGTGCTTTGAGGATGCCATTTCAGCAGGCAAGTACAGCCCAGTTTCAACCTGTTTCTAACTGTAAAACGACCTGGATGTTTGCTTGAACTGTTGACCATCCCCCTCTCTCTAAGCCCCAGTGTTGGTGTCCATGCAGTTGGAGAATCAATTTTGAGATAATATAGTGGACCTTCTCCCCTTTAAAAACCTATAGAGTGTCAGGGGCCACACGCCTGGTCCTTTCTGTCCTCATGGGAAACCCAGAGAAGCCTGAGGGCAGTAACAGATCCTTTAAAAAATGCACTAAAGATTGAGCTTGGGGAGAGGAAGGAAAAGGCTTTTGATTAAGATTTTGTCAGATCCAATACAGAGGTTAGTCCTAAGGTGTTTCTAAGGCAATTCTCTAAATATTTTTCTAGGTAAAGTCACATTAACTGTCTCTGACAGAAGAAAAGGAAATAAATAAAAGTACTCCCTACTCAGGCTTGATTTTTTTAAAGCTGTCTACTAACAAAGCTCCATCTTTAGTAGAGAAGGCAGCCCTGCCTTGGTCTTCCCAGGGATGCCCTGCCTCTGCAATGCCTTTCTGAGCCATAAAGAAACCTTTAAGACTACATCTAAAAGGACAGCCTACAGCAACGATTTAATCCTGGGAACTCCCAGTGCTCTGAACTCCCCACTCTCCAAGCCTAAAGGCTTCATCCTTTCCCAACCAGTTCCTGACCTACCCTCATCCTCAGCCAGGACCCCTGCTTGGTAGGACTGTGAAGTCGTGAATTAGCTCTCAGTTGCCAGTGCCCTGGTCTGGGGAGACTCATGGGTGCACCAATTTATTGAGGGTTAGTGTTAGGGAGGTCTTAGCTTTCTTAGCACCACCGGACTCTGGTATCTTGGTGCTAGGCTTTTGAAGTCAGAAAGAATGGCTGGAGAAAGAGAAGGGGGTCTTAAAAGGAGACCCCTACTTTTCAGAAGGTGGTCTGTAGGTCTGCAGCATCAGCAGCACCTGGGAGATAGGTATAAATTCAGAAATTCAGGCCCCAACCTAGACTTTCTGAATGGGAATCTGCATTTCAACAAGATCCCCAGGTAATCCTTACAGGAGTTACAAGTACCAACAATTGTGCTAATTGTGATCAAGATGCAGTAACATACAAAGTTTTGTGGTTTGCTTGTTGGTACTTAAGTGCTTTAGTAGTGAGGTAAGATGTGCACGACAGCATCAAGAGAGGAGGGTAGCTGGCCCTCACCCCGTTTTGCCAATACACCATTGTTATTTTGCGGAGGGTGATGTTTTGTAACAATAACCACGTGGCCCTCTCATGGGCCCAGCTCCGGAAGGGGCGGCCACACTCCTGCAGTTGCAGCGCCCCTGGGCCCAGGGAGATAAGCCGAGCTGAGTGAGTTGCAGAGATTCGGGGGCACTGGAGTATCCCCGTGGCGCCCCAGATTCAGTAACTGACCGAGAAGGTCAGGCAAATGCCCCGTTCCCACCCCCGCCCCAGCCTTCCCCTGAGCCACGCTGGACGCCGTTAATGCTCTGTTTCTATTCTGTTGTCACCCTAGGATAGTCATTGCAACGTGACGCCCTTGTCCTTTCAGGTTCAGGCGCAGCTGCAGCTGGACAGCGCCGTGGCGCACGCGCACCACCACCTGCACCCGCACCTGGCT